GGGGGCAGCCAGTCAGCGCCGGGCTGCGCCGGGTGGGGGTGGGGCCCCGAGCGCGCAGCCGCGGCCCCGGGCTCAAGGGGGTGGGCGCAAGGGCGGCGCGTCGCGACCGGAGTTAGGGACCCTCTGGACCTGCTCTTTGGATTTGTCCTTCCGCCCTGCTCTCTCTGAATAAGAGATTCCCTCCGCGCTGCTTTTCATCAAGCGCCCCCCATCCTCCCTGTTTCTCTTTCACCTCCTCAGCTCTCCTATGGGGGAGAGGAGAAAAGAGGGGAGGTGGCGAGGGGAAAGCCTTTCAGGTTTGCGGTTGATATTCCCGGGGGGCCTCTTGGGATCATGAGGCCGGCAAACTGGGCAGGGGCCAGCGGCGGTGAGGCCGAGGCTGCACAATGGTTGGGCTCTGTGTGCATGGCGCGGGGCGACCAAGACCAACCCCGCAGGAACCGACCCACCCCTCGCGCCCCCGCCTCACCCCGCCCCATCACGCCTCACCCTTATTCTGCTCGCCCCATCGCTGCTGCCAGCTCTGGCATATTCCCCGTTGAACGGGTGGCGCGTCCTCCCGGGCCGAGTCGCGCATGCGTAGGGTGAAACTAGATCCCCATCCGGGGCCCCTCCCCGCCGCGGAGCCCCGGGGCCCCGCCGCGCGCCGCCTCCCCCGTCGGCCTCCCGCGTCACCCCTCTCGGCCTGCCCACATCGATTCTCTCTCGCCGTGTGGAGCTGTGAACCACCCCTCCCCGCAGCATCCACTTTACCTACGGTCCCGCTGCCGCCACCCCGCCCTCCACCACGGGGACCGTCCCGCAACCGCCTCCTCGCGCCCCGAGCCCCGGGCCGTGTCGGCGTGTCGGGCGCTCCGATAGGCCGGAAGCAAAACGGACTGACGTAGGCGTTGGGGAGGAAGGAGTCATCTCCGGGCTCCTGACGTGCTGCGGCGCGGGGGAGGCGAGGCGACGTCTTCTTCTACTGTACCTCGATATGCGGTTTCTCGACAAAAATATCTCCTCTCATCCCGCTTGCGCATCACCTTCTGCAGGCTCGCCGCCACCGTCCTCTTCTTCCTGACTAGTTTTAGTTGTAAAGATGTTCAAATAATGTCCGATTGTCTCTCTGGTGGAGGCGCGCGGCTGGCCGGCCGGCGGCGGCGCACAGAAGGCCGTCCGGGGCAGCCTTGACCCCCTGCCCGTAGGCGTCTCGTCTTCCTCATTGCTGAAAGTCGTCGAAAGCGAGCTGCCCGCGGCGCAGGAGCGGATCATCCAGCCGACGAGAGCGCAGGCATGTTGCCTTCTCCCTTTGTCAACGCGCCGGAGTGTTGCGGGCTTGCCTACCCCTCCTCCTGTGAGGCGCCCTGGGGGCTATGCGACCCGAGCGCCGAGCAAAACGCTCAGCGCCCAGCAAGCTCGTCCTCGTTGGGCGCGACGCAGTTTGCCGTGTCCCGTATAGGCTGTGGGGCTTTCTGCTCTACAGTTTGTGAGTGGTGTGGTAGAGCAGTGCGCGCGTCGCGCCCTGTGTGAGTGCGATCGACAACGCTGGTTGTCTGTGTCGCTGGGGGCGGGGCGGGGCGGGGCGGCGGGGCGTACGTCGCCGCGGTAGCCCTGACCTGGTGCTCGTGCTCCATGCTCTGCTGCGGTGCGCTGCCGTGTCTAACTGCGCCGAGCTGAATCAGCTGGTGCTGTGGTGTGGTGTGGTGCTGTGTGATTGCTGGCGACGACACTTGGGCGCGTCCTGCTTCTGAGGGAGGCTGACGAAGGGGGGGGGGGGGGGGGTCCTCAAGCCCGGCCAGAGCCTAACCCGACCCGGCCGGCCTGGCTCTGGGGGCTTCAGACCGTACAGCGATCGATGCAATCTCCTCGCTGCTGACAAGTGCGGACGGGACGGGACGGGTCGGAGTGGTTGGGCCGGGCCGAGTTGGGCTGGGCCGGGCTATGGCTCTCGGCACATCACATGGCCCCGCACGGGGGCCAGCAGCGAGCGTAGGGGCGCAGGAGCTGTTTCTCTGCGTGTCGCCGCCCGGGGCTGTCACGGCCAGGCTCACCGGATAGGCCCCACAAAGGGAAATGAATGGCTCGCTTCCCGAATGGCTCTCTCTCTCTGTCCTCCATCTGTTTGACTTTCCTCGGGGCTGTGTGTATATGTGCGGCTCTCGGAAACTCTACTTGCCCGGTCCAAATCCGAAGAGCTCCAGGACGACAAGCCGGCTTCCCTCCCGGCTCCCTGCAGGCTCTCCCTCCCGCTCCCGGCTCTTCCCTCCCGGATGTCGGCCGAGTTGCCTACCCTCCCGGCTGCGCCCCTCGCCTGTCCCCCTCCCGGCCTTGAGTGCGGCGCCAGCCAGGGTGCCGGCCGGGTCGGGGGCTGCGGGGAGCGGAGGGGGCTCCAGACAGACAACCCTATTTCCGACATGACGCCGGGGCGCCGAGGGGAGCAATCGCATTTCAGGGACCCATCTCCTCCCCGGTCGTGTTATCTGACGGGCTAGCCTCATCGGAGACCAAACCCATCGGGCCTAGTTTTCGCGAAGGACGCTGGTGGGAAACAACAAAAAGTTTCCATCCACGCTCACGAAAAACATTCGCGATTAGAGGATTAACAAAAATCTGGCCGATAGGTGTCATAAGCTCCATGTTGTTTCAATATTAAAATTATGGAAAAAACATGATTTTTTCACGTTAAAATAAAAAATAGGAGCCACTGTATCAGGTCATAGGCCGTATACTCGCTAGGTGATTTGAATGGCCCCGCGGGCGATACCTTCACTTTTGTCCTGGTTTGTCGCGACCAAGTCGTGATTGTTCATTGTGAAATGGCATAGCAGATAACGATCCGACGTGAACCTGTGCTGTGCTGCCCGCCGGCACTGCAGTACATACCCCCATCCCTCTCCCCGCTCGCCTTCTGCTCACCTCGCCCTGCCTCCCCTCCCCACCTTGATCTCCTGCTAAATCGTGTGGTAAAGCTGTGAAGACGCTCCATCGGCATGTCCGGTGCGCTACGCTCCGCAACGCCACACGATCAAACCTCGGCCTCACGAACACCGCGAGGGACAAGCGCACAGACAGACAGACACACGGACGGACAGACAGACAGACAGACAGACAGACAGACAGACAGACAGACAGACAGACAGACAGACAGGGCGCAAATTCATGTGAAGCAAAGCAGCTTATTTCTGAAAAAGATAAAAATTGTGTGACAAAAGAGCAAAAGAGTCATGTGGGGGAGGAGTCCAGTAGGACGCCCAAGAAATGCCTGTGCATCAGGGCTTTACGATTCCCCTTTTTTCTCGACACCTTTTGTAAGTTCGCCTTGGCTGGCTTGGCTACGTGCCCAGGGCCTCGTCTCCTCCACACTGGTCCTGCAAGTCGTCCTGCGAGTCCTGCTGCTGGTCCTGCGCCCCCTTGCGCCCTCTGCGGGTCTGGTGCGGCAACATCGCAGCGACTTGCAAAGAAAGTGGACAAGTCGCGCTGCGCTGAAGCGCGATGCGTGGTGTGGCGGGGCGAGGTGGGGCGGGGCGGGTCGCGGCAGGGCGGGGTACCCATACGGTGAAGCCCGCGGCCCGCCCGCCCGCCCGTGGGCCCGCTGGGGCACTGACATTCCTTGGCCGTGAACACAGCTCGAGTTACGCAATTCGCAGCAACATCGCACACAATTCAAGGGCGGCCGGGCCGGGCCCGCGGGGAGCCGGCAGCGCGGTGAGGTGAGGCGGGGCGGGGCGGGGCGGCTGACCCCCTGGGGCCCAGGGGACTGCACCAGGGGACTGCACCAGGGGACCCGCCGGGACGGGGACGCACGGGTTACACAAAACAGGAGGCACTGCACAAGGCATTTTGAAACTCGCGCGGGCTTTCGTCGATACTTTACTCGCGATGACTTACCGGGTAAATAAATGGCATGTGGGTGCTCCGACAATCGTCACTGCAGGCGCGGCGTCCGTACGTGCGCAGATGGGGATTCTGTTTCGGAACTCGATATGAGGAGCGATACCGATCCGCTTCTGCCCGCGCTGCGCTGCACGTTGGTGTACACCCAAGACATCGGTGTACACATCGATGGAAAAACAGTGCTCCTTTTCTTCTTTTCTTCGGCCCATTAAAGCTTGAATTTGTGTGGCCATGATCCTTTGCGACCTGCTTTGGTGGGGCATGCGAAATTTCGATCCCTTATTCCCCTCCCCAAGAAACAAAAACAAAAGGGGGAAAAACATGTGCTAAAACGCTACGAGTAAGGTACGACTTGCTTTTCGCATTCTTGTATTAAACACCCAATTTTTTGTCTCTTGTGGAAGGAAAAGAGGACTCCTTTTACTGGTATCCCCTCTTCCGCATCTTTAAGAAAACACTTTTAGCCATAGTGCACCACCACCTACTCACGATATCCGGCCGCTTACTTTTTAGCAGATGATACCTTACCAACATTTTGACTGAACATAAAGAATATAAGTAACTTTAAGGTGTCAGCTAGCTTTTACTCTCGATAAGTACAGAGAACCACAAGCGCAGACCAGAAAACAATTTATTTGGCGCTGGGGGGCCGAGTGAGTGAGTGAGTGAGTGCCCGAGCGCCCGAGTGTCGCGTCGGTCGCGGCAGGCCCCTGCTCAACAATACTAGGGTCCCACAGCCGCGACTGCCACCGCCACCCGGTACGCTACCCCCTCCCTCCCCTTTATAATAATGCCTGTCAAAGACGATAAACGAGTGAAACATTTAAAAAATGATGAAAAACCACCACAAATAAAAATCAAACTATAGAAATACTAAAACACAGGTATACTATAGTATTAAATTGGTATCATCTGCTTTCAAGATAGATTCTTGATTTAGATTTTTTTTGTAGTTATACTGCATCGGTGATCGGCTCCTAGTTTTTTGGTTGTACTATGTACTGGATTCAGG